GGTAAGTTGGTGGGATCGAATGAGTTGAGGCCTCTACTCCTCCTCCATCTTCTCCAACCCTGCATTGTTATTTCTATTGTAAGGATTGCCACGGTTTCTTTTGTAAGAGTTTAATAGAATTTGCCATAAAGACTTAGTTCAGTTTCCTCCAAATTACCCCATTGCCAATGCTTTCTTCCAGATTTTCACCAATTCTCACCCACTCTGATATCACATCATTTAATGTCCAGAAGTCTGTGAAAGAAATATATTAAAGTGTGAATCAATCTGTGCCACTGTCCTCTTATTACCATGTAGGGCTGTGGGGCAGAGTACTCAAAACCTGCTACAGTCAGGGTCAACCTTCCTCTCAAGCCTCATCCCTCTGTACTGCTCCCTCAATATTGCTCTCTTAGCCTTTCATCCAGAATTTCATACTTTGTGAGTTTGGAGTCCTTTTTAGTGCTAACGAGTCATTCTGGAATATTCTATTCTACTCTTCAACTTTCCTCTTTAATGTTTCCTTTTTTGTGAAGCCTTGCCTGATCCCCACAGGTATAATTAGATGCTCTCTCTCCTGGGTGTTCTAATCTCTCCATGGTGTGGCCAAATGCCTCTGCTTTACCTTTGGTGGTACTTCGCCTTAGTTTGATGTGTATCTTCCACTTGACCTCATTTAAAATCTCTGAATTTCTTTCCACAACCCTAAGAGGAGCTCAGGAAATATATATTTTCAATACAAATTATTGATCCCAGTCCTTGTGACTATTTTTGGAGCTTTGGCCAATTCCATCTTTCAATATTTTACACAATTTCTGACTTTAGGTGAAGGTCCAGAGTTTTAGTCAGCCAATCAATAGTCACACTAATCTAGAGTTCTAGTTATGAGACTTTTCTTTATTTTCTGGGCCTGAATTTCTATGTCTGTTACCATTGCCTCTTAAACTGGGCTTTGTATTGCTCTTGCTACTTGTTCTGCCTACTCCTTCCTCCTCTGCTGGGGTTCTGGGCCAGTATTTTCTGCTTAATTATACCTCTCTCTGAAGTCTCAGACAACACAGCATCATCTGCTCTAAGCTCACTATTCTCCATATTGACTTCTCTGTTAGAAAACTGACTGCTTTAGGCTAGGGTTCCTAATCTTGGCTCTACCTGAAACGACCTCTGCTATGTCTTCTTCTTTCTGGAACTGGGTCAGTACCCTTAAAGTATGGCTCTCAGAAATGGATGACCTGATTTTGGGTACTGATCCTTCCCATTAAACCTTGTGCTGTTCCCTTCCCAGATAGCCTGCGTTGCTCTTTGCCTTTCTGATAAGGGACTATCATTTGCAGATAAACAAGTCTCACTGAGTCCTGAACTATAAAATTGCATGAATTTGTTCTTGTTTTTTACTTTGGCTCCATAAAAAAGAACTTTTCCCCTCACAGGGAGTTTCTTCCCGGACTTGAACACATGAAAAATCTTGCACGCCACCACAAGTGTTCTCTTGTGTAAACTGCACACATTCAATTTTTAAAATTCCTCTTAATCTATTGAATCCTTCTCAATCCAGATCTTTCATACTCTTGAATATTCTCCCATAGATTAACCTGGCACCATTTCCAGGAGTGATTTTGGTGGCTGAGATGAGAGTCAAATGTAGAGGGGTTGGTTAAGAGGGGACCGAGTTGTATGTAATTTCACTTAAGGTGAGATAGTGTATAGATGGTAATATCTACAAGACTTGGCCTATTCTTATACCTATCATTTTGAGTTCAGGTATTTGACTTTGTCTTCACTCTTATTCCCTGGCCAGGTTCTATTTTCTCACAAAGTCTTCTACTTATTAATCCATTCTTTCTCTCATGGTTCCATCTATAGAATGGTCGGGGGAGAATCATTTACGTAATGTTGTATGTTGATCCTAGTGTTGGCCCTCCTCATCCCTGCTTTCTTCCTCACTCATCCTAGATCAGATCTTGCTTGGCCATCACATCAGTTAGTCCTACTCCCAATGGTAGGAAACTTTACCTTGCTTCTGGCTGCAAGACTTTGGCTGTCTCTGGGCATGGCACCCTGGAGTATGCTGTTCAAAATATTCCCTGCTGTGGCTCTTCCCAGGGGCCCCAGTAAGAGAGATCTTGTTAAACCTTTGTTTGAAGAAGAGGCAGAAGTACTAATTGGTGTCTGGGTGGTGAGGGCTTCATTTTGGATCCCTACAGGCAATGCCTGAAAAGGTGCCCATTAAATACCCTATTCTTGGAACTTGACTGGTAGCTTAATTTCTCATCCTTCTGTAGTTTAAACAGTGCAGCTCTTTGGTGAGTAATGGCTAAGGGTAGGCCCAAGGAGGAGAGATACATATAGGCTTCATCCACAAATTAACTTTCCACCAACCTTTCCTGATCTGGATAATCTAATAGACTGTCTGGGGTGAAAATGCATGGTCTTGATATCACGGGGAGAAATTGGAAATACCATCAGTGTTGATGATGTGTACATCATTAAAAGTCTATTTGGACCTTTTGTGTTATATGGACACAGGCAAGAGAGGGATCAGGTGTGTGAGAATTACTTCCTCTCAAGCAGGCAAATATCCTTCTAGTCCTGGTTCAATAGTAAGCTATTTGTAAATCTGTTCCTCTTCAAAGCACACAGGGTGAGTCATAGAGAAACATTTATGGAGGCACTTCACTCTGTGTCCTGGATTATTCTGGTTCTAGGACCTCTTACCTCCCTTAACCTTCTTCCCTGATAGAAGTAAAGGAGCTGAGCCTACTGAATCATACTTTTCCTTGAGGCACAAGGTTACGATGAGGGATATTTGTTGGGTCCTGAGGGGCATTGGAGGTAATTATTTCTTAAACTGTTCTGAAGATACTGTTATGTTCCACAAAGTGGGCAGAGGCTTAAGGATGGGCAGCTTTGAGGATAATTTGAAGCAGACACTCAGGTGATCAGAGCCACATTTCTTGATACTATCTGACCTTTCCTCCCCTACCACCAACATACACTGCAATATTCCCTGGGGGTGCTTAGGGGAACAGCATGTGGTTGGGAGGAAAGAGGGAAGCAATGTTGGAGAGGATATGGTATTTTTGACTATTTGTCTTTGGTTTACTACTATATAACACACCCACTCACTGGATGAATATATCATCCCTTGTCAAATCAAATGCATTGTTTCTGAATCTCTGAAGTTTCTGTTGCTCTTAACCAGGTTCCTCCAAATGGGTTATTCATTTCCTACAATTCAGTGGATATAGTATTACTATTTTCAGCTCTTGACAAAGGACTTTCACATATTGTATCTCATTGGATTCTCATAATGATCTTTTGAGACAGATTTTAGTATATTCATTACACATGGAGGAAACTAAGACTTGGAAACAGATGATTTGCTTCAAGTTATAGAGCTGACATATGGCAGTAATAGTACTGAAAATCAGGACCTTGACTCCTGGTCCAGAGTTTATTCCATGACACTAGAACTATAGGTCTACTTTAATCTCTCATCTTCCCAGTTCTCTTGCCTTCTGTGGAGGTTATGCAGTTTTCTTAGCAGCTGTGGTGAAAGTATGGCCAACAATCACATAGCTTCTCTTGGAGAGAAAAGTAAAACATTCTTGGCTGTTTTAAGCTGTGCTGTTTCTTTTTTCTTGGATTATGCTCCTGGCTGACTTCTTTCCATCATGCTTAGAAACTACTTATTGCTGTCCCTGGAATTGTTAGATCAACCCAGATGCATCTTCTCTGCCTGGAATGTGAATCACTTATCTTATGCTCCAAAGCCCTCACAGAACCTAGACCCAGGTCTCTCTGTATTCCTGTGTTTTTCTTTCACATGAGAGCATTGGGCCACTGGAGGTATCGAGGGATATTGGGGAGACCTGTCTGTACTCCTTAAATTATTCCTTATCTACCCTGCTATTTGATTCCTCTACTGCCCAGCCTTGGCCACCCAGCCCTGGATGTTTTTCCTTGGCCCTGCAGTAGTCTCTGCTAACACACAGAGAGGGTGATGACTGCTTAGACCAGGGATCAGGGATCCGTTGATGTAAGCTCTTGTCTGATTCTATCACTAAATAGATCTGTGACCCTGGACATTTATTTCTTTTTAGATTTCAGTTTTCTAACCTACAAAACAATGATTTTGAGCACAGGATGTATTGCAGAGATGAATAATTTTGTACACTTTTTGTGGATACGTGAGAAATGGGACTGGAGGGAATATCTGCCATTTTTTCTTTTGTTCTCATTAATTTGGCATGATTTAGAATTCTTTGGCTTTCACATGATAGCTATTACCAAGAACTTCTGTTTTTTTTTCCAGGTCACCACAACTCTGAGTTTTGTGTCTACCTCTGTATACCACTGCATTGAAGGAGAGAGAGATACAGGATTGAGATACTGGGGAGAGAAATAAGATATAAACTGTGAAATGATTGGGGAATAATTCAGGGAAGAACCTAATCAATGTTGGAGTTTTCAGGGACCATTTATTCTGTAATCTGGCAGTGAAGTGAAATTTGGAGGAGTATTGTCTCTCCATATTAAGGGAGTTTCCAGATGTTAGGATATTTGGCAATTTCAAATGGAAGTTAGTGATATAAGATTAAATGACCATGTGAGGTCAGTCTTAATTAAATCTAGTGCCAGCATTCAGAATTTGAGAATGTGAGCATTATGGGAAGGATTTTTATTTAACATTAGTTTCTGGGCATCTGCTAAAATCTGGTTATGTCATTTGCTTCAGGTCATAAATATATTAGCATATTAAATCTAGGACCTGGTTTCTGAACTTCTTGTCCAGTGCATTTCCTTTTGGACCAAGTGACTTGCCTCTTCTGTATTTGAAGATCCTGCAGAGATATTAACCAAACTGAAAATTATTTTTCACTGTTTACTGAAACCTATGGGGGAAGAATGATGGTGACAGTGTGTTAGTGGGACCATATATTTTGAGCTCCCTATCACTGAATTTAACCTGTCTCTTTTCTTTGCAGTAGCTCTTCACTCTTCTAAGTGAGATGATCACCATGATTCTCTCCAATAATTCTCACTTCCCACATACTTTCTTCTTGGCTGGTATCCCAGGACTGACTGCTGCCCACATTTGGATCTCACTTCCCTTTTGCTTCATGTTCTTCCTGGCAATGACTGGGAATTGTGTCCTGCTTTTTCTTATCCGGACAGAGCGCAGCCTTCACCAGCCCATGTTTTTCTTTCTTGCCATGCTCTCCTTTGTCGACCTGGTTCTCTCCCTCTCCACTCTGCCCAAGATGCTGGCCATTTTCTGGTTTAGTGCTACAGCTATCAGCTCCCACTCCTGTCTTTCCCAGATGTTCTTCATCCATGCATTCTCTGCTATGGAGTCAGGAGTGCTGGTGGCCATGGCCATGGACCGCTTTGTGGCCATCTGTAACCCGCTACATTATGCAACTATTCTTACACCATTTGTTGTTGCCAAGATTGGAGGCCTGGTGGTTCTGCGAGGTGTGGGGTTGACCATCTCCTTTCCAACCTTGGCTCGTCGGCTGCCCTACTGTGGCTCTCATACAATTGCCTATACCTACTGTGAGCATATGGCAGTAGTAAAGTTGGCCTGTGGCGCCACCACTGTGGATAATCTCTATGCCTTTGCTGTGGCAATCTTTCTTGGTGTGGGGGATGTGGCCTTTATCGCTTACTCCTATGGGCAGATTGTGAGGACTGTGATTAATTTTCCTTCACCTGAGGCACGTGCTAAAGCAGGCAGCACATGTACAGCTCATGTCTGTGTCATCCTCTTCTTCTATGGACCAGGCTTTCTTTCTGTGGTCATGCAGCGCTTTGGCCCACCCACAGCCTCTGCTGCTAAGGTTATTCTTGCCAATCTCTACTTGCTCTTTCCCCCTGCCCTGGACCCCATTGTCTATGGGGTCAAGACCAAACAGATCCGTGATCAGCTGTTTAAAATGCTAAGGCCCAAGCAGATTGATCCCACCTGAGTATAGTTCTCATCATCTGGCTCTCAGGGCAAGGGTAGTCTTCCCCTGTGGAGCAGGAGCCTCATAGCCCAGGATATTTACCTGGTAAATATCAGGGACAGTAAAGAGAAAGAAAATTAAGTTTTCTTGAGTGTTTGGAAGTTGGGAAATCTCTTCTCAGGTATATTTAGTGTTTAGATACTGGGATGGGAAACGGAAGTGCTGGGGTGTCTCAAGCAAGTAATTTTTTGAAGACATCTTTCTTCTAAGAGTTTGTGATTTACTTGTGTTGACAAGATAAATGCATCAGGAAATTAAGAAACAATGAAGATTTCTATAGACCTGGAATAAGTGACTTAGATCAGGGAGAGATGAACTGAGTGCCTGTTTATACATACGAGAATATGGGCCACTTCCCACCATCATGACACTGATACATAGACAATCTGTGGGAGCTGATAGGTCTTCTCTATCAGTGAAACTTTGGCATCACAGAAATAGGGGTGGAAAACTATAGAAACTCTTTAGAGTTTCAGATTCATGAAAGAAACTTTAAAATATTCATGTTCCATCTGATTCTAGAAATACTTTGGTCCATGTGCTTTCATTCCTGTTTTTGAGATGGATGATCTCTGACTTCTATAGTATTATGTATTTTTAATCTCTAATAGTAATGATAATTTTTCTTTCATTTTTTTCATTTTTAGTCTTTTGGTAATTCTTTTGGCCATTCTCTTCCAGTTTCTACTATAGGCACTCACTTTTTAATATGTTTATTGTACGTTCTTAAGTATCCTTGCAATGTATATAGTGTTGATTGAGTGTTATGTATTCCTAATATACATAAATTTCCTTCTCTAGTAGCTCATATGTCCTTGCTTCTTCCACGCATGCGTAGTCTGGGCTTTTCCTAGTGGGAATGCAGCTCCCTGTCTTTATCCTTGCTATTCGTACTCATCTTGAACTTTAGATCAAATCTCATCTCTTTGAAGAAGAGTTTTAAAACTAGATCAGGTCACTTGTTTTATGAATTTGGAGCTCCATGTATATTTCTTTCATTATCTATCAGGATTTAAAATTATCTATCATCTATCTATTATCTATCTATCTATCTATCTATCTATCTATCATCTATCATCTATCAATCTACCTATCTGGCTGCCTGGGTGGCTCAGTTTGTTGAGCATTGGACTCTTGATTTCAACTCAGGTCATGATCACAGGGTTGTGAGATTGAGCCCTGAGTTGGGTTCCCTGCTCAGTGGGGAGTCTGCTTGAGATTCTCTCTCCCTCTCCTTTCTGTCCCTTCCCCTGCTCATACTCTTTCTCTCTCTAAAATAAATAAATAAATCTTAAAAATTATATATATATATATATATATATATATATATATATATATATATAGTGATTGGTTGAATGATCTCTGTCCCCCATCTCTACTAAATGGTGAACTGCATTGTATCCTTAACATAGTATCTGGCACATGATAGGCACTCAATAAATGTTTATTTAATAAATAAATATTGTTCTTTTAATGGACTATATCATTGCTAGCATGTTTCCTCATCAGTCGTATTGACATATGTGTGTTTTGGATTAAATGAATACATAAATCTCAAAATGTGATACAGGTACTCAGTAATTTTTTTATTGAGGAAATTAAATAAATTGTCACAAAACTAACATTGAAGTCATAATCACTATTAACACTACTGTCTTTACTGCTATCATTGTGATGATCACTATTTCAACTTTCAAATGTAATTTCATGTTTTAAAAAAATTTCAATTGATGATATTTTGGACACTGTGCAGATGAATGGAAGAATATGATTACACTTCTAAGGCAAACTCGATGCTGTGTATAAATAGAGAATAAAATCAGAAAAATAACATTTGTCTTCCTTCTTATCTTCATTTGCTTTTGTTTTCTCCATTATTTTCTTCTTCATCCTGAGTGTTTACCAGGCTCTCGTTGTGATGATGAAATGACCTTGAAAATAGAGAAACTGTGATAAAATGTGATAGTGCTGTGGTGGATGTTGGTTCCAAGTCACTGAATGGGAAGTAAGGGGCAGGAAAGGGACATGGGTTGGGTTAGGTTAAAGAGATGCTATAAATGACCAAGGTTTAAAAGAGTATGAGTCTAGGTTGTCGTGTGGGCAGATGGAGAGTTATGGCTAAACTTATGGTCCCTAGGGGGAGTCTACCTCAGTCTTTCTCCTAATTAGCTTTTGCTCTATGCCATACTCAGTGATCCCATGTTTCCTTTGTTGAGTATTAATTTTCAATATTATTAGTAAGAAGATAGCACAGCAGCATTATTCACAGTAGCTAAAGGTGAAAACAACCCATGTATCCATCAACTAATGAATGGATTAGCAAAACTGCAGTATACACGTATTAGTAGTCCCTTAAGCAGAATGAAATTCTGACACATGCTAGAGCATGGATGAACCTTAAACATTATGGGAAGTGAAATAAGCCAGACACAAAATAACAAATATTGTATGATCCCTCTTATATGAAGTACACAATAGGCAAATTCATACATAAGTAGCATAGAGGTTTCCAGGGGGCTCGAGGAGAGAAGGATGGGAATTATTTAATAGATACAGAGCTTCTGTTTGGGATGATGGGGAAAATTTTGGAAATAGATATTGGTGTTGGCTGCACAACACTGTAAATGTACCTAATGCCACAGAAATTGTAACTTAAAAGTGCTAAATATAAAATTGTAACATAAAATGATAAATATAATGTTAAATATATTTTTCCACAATAAAAAATAACAACAACAAAACCCCAAGAAAATAGGAGTTCAAAGAAAAGGCAAAGTGGAGACCTCCCTCTTCTCTTAACTCTATTCCATGGGTTGGAGTGAAAGAAAGAGCTGCTGGAGATGTGCAGTAGGATTCCAGAGGAAGATTCCTTTTTTTTTTTTTAAGATTTTATTTATTTATCCATGAGACACACAGGGAGAGAGAGAGGGGCAGAGACACAGGCAGAGGGAGAAGCAGGCTCCATGCAGGGAGCCCGATGTGGGACTCGACCCCAGGTCTCCAGGATCACACCCTGGGCCAAAGGTGGTGCTAAACCGCTGAGCACCCGGGCTGCCCCCAGAGGAAGATTCCTTAGTGGGAGGATGGATGAATGTACTTATTACCAATGGATGTAGAGTCCTTTATGTGCCTTAGCTAAACTTGTTTTATTTTATTTTATTTTATTTTTAAAAAAGATTTTATTTGGTTTTTCATAAGAGAGAGAGACACACACACACACACAAGCCTGTGGAAACAGGCTCCACACAGGGAGTCCGACACGGGACTTGATCCTGGGTCCCCAGGATCACGCCCTGGGCAGAAGGTGGTGCTAAACTGCTGAGACATTGTGGCTGCCCTAAACTTGTTTTAAGCAATCTTAGTCTGAATATTTTATATTAGTGTAAAAATCTTTTTGTTTTTTAAAGATTTTATTTATTTGAGAGAGAGGGAGAACGAGAGTCAGAGAGAGAGAGAGAGAGAGAGAGAGAGAGAGAGAGAGAGAGCACGCATAAGCAGACTCCCCATTGAGCAGGGAACCTGATGCATGGGCTCCATCTCAGGACCCTGGGATCATGACTTGAGCCAAAGGCAGATGCTTAGCCCACTGGGCAACCCAGGTGCCCCTAGTGTAAAATCTTGATGATATGAGCAGTTCCTGTTGTTCAGCTCTTACTCCATGGTACATTGAGCCCTTGAGGTAAAAAAAACTTTGTATATAAGCTGTCTTATTTAATGTTTACAAAATGCATATGAAGTTGATACTCACACATCCATTTTTTTTTCTGATAGAAATGTTATGGTTCCTACTAAGTGGAGACCATTTATTTTCTCACACTTCTCATACTTCTTCTTTGGTAGTGCGTTTACAGTGAGTTCACTGTTCTTGTTCCCCAAGGCAATTTTCAGGTTTATTTTTTCCTCTGGAAAAACAGATTAGCAAAGGAATAAGCATGGACTGGTACTTTGCTGTTGATATCTTTCATGCAGATCATTCTCTACTACTCCCAGTTACTGGTATATCTCCTTATTGCTATTCTTCAGTAAGGATGACTAAGTTAATATCTTCTCTATTTTTTGGCTCCCCATTACCCTGGTGCAAGACTTCAGGATTTATGCAAATGACCCATTAAACACTCTGCATTCTCATATTCTTGAGTTCTTTCTCCCAAGATCCTTCCCTCATTTACCCATTCCCATGACATATCCTTGAACCTCTCTGGAGATCACTGTGTTTGTCTCCAAGACATCTCTCAGCATCTGTACTTGACCTTTTCTTATGCATACTCCTAGCATGATATTTGATAATGAGATTCTGCTCATGTCTCAATCTTCTGCTTAAAATCTTCCTGACTTCCACTTCCCACTGTCCTTTAACATGACCTAAAATGTGCTACTATGGTTCCTGCTTATACCCCAGGCTCAGTTCCTGAATATCTCCAAATTTCATGATTCTTTCAAGCATTGGCAATACCAAGCTCCCTTCTCTCTTGCCTCAGGGTTTTGTATTCTTAGCCTACCCCTACAACTCCCTTCACTTTTAACCCATTCTTCTGGTACCTAACTTGAATTAGGGGGGATTTTCCTGCACTCCCGAGAATGAGAAGTTTCTCTTATTATATGTTTGACATACTGTGGCTTTAATTTATAATACTTATAACTGTTATTAGGTTTCTGTGATTACATACGTAATATATTCCATCCCATAAGCTATGATGACAAGGATTGTTTATCATATTATTTGTTTTGTTTAACATCTAGTAGAGTATATGGATTTGGTAGGTATTTAATACTACTCAATGAATGAATGAATAAATCAAACTTCCTACCAGCTATGAATGACATACTTGTTGATTGGTTAAGTAAAAAGACTGTGCAATTGAAAAATTATTCCAAAGGAGAATGTGGCTGTTGGAGTGAACTGTAGCTGCTTTATCAGATATCCAAGGGAAGGATCTGTCTGGTAATGGAGAGATACGATA